CAATACTGCGGGATCACCGCTGAGCACAACCATCACAACAAAAATATCTGTCAGTCCATCAAACATTCCATGCCCTTTTCAAGTTCCAACGGCGTCTTTGATTCTTCACTCAACTCCGGTAATTTGCAATTTCCGTTGGGCTTATAAGAAGCGTAAGATTCAACGTTTCCGGTGCGCCAAGAAACTGATGGGCATAATCGTTCATGTGCCGCACAAGTGCCACGAGGTTCCCTTTCCGCACCACCCAGTTCTGACGGCTCGACGGCGCCTGTTCGGTCATCTCGTCGGCATCCGGAAAGGTCTGTGGGGATATGCGAGCAAGAATACGGTACAGAATCGCCCCATCGCGGAGGTCCTCGTACTTCTCAGGCAGCGGTTTTGTTTCAACGCCGGTGTCTACCCCCTCGCGCGCAAGCAACTGGCGCACAAGAAGAAGCACCGCTGCTTTCTTTGCGGCATCTGCCATTTTGTCAGAACCGTCGCGTTTGTTCGCTCGCCCCACCCCCGGCCCTTAACACACAAAGAAAGAAAATAAAACCCCCTACCCCCACAACAGATGCAGAAAGCCGAAAGCAAAAAAAGAGGTGCTGTGTGACAAACCAACAAAATAACAGAAAAGAAAAAAAAAAGAAGAAAAAAAAAAGTAAGAGATATTTCTGCACATACGGAGAGATGCCTCCATTTCGGCAAGTAAGAAGGAATGCGCCGCGGAGGTCCACCGCGTTGATGAACCGCTTGACCGTGACGTTCAGTAAACGGAGAAGACACACACAAAAAAAAAAACAGAAACAACTAACACAAGAACAACAGTCAATAATATGCCACCGCCCTCAAGGAATGGTTTATACTCGAACAACAATGTGATCCCGAGACAAACATCTATGCTTTGAAATAGGAACTCTTCCATTTTATCTTTTCATCTGCCGTTCCCTATCGATCAATATCTATGGAAGCTAGCACCCCCTCCCCACGACCCTCTCGATGCAATATCGATTATCAACTCACCTCGGCCCCTATGGCGCCTGGACTCAAATAGCACCCTTTCCCAAAAACTTGATGTTTCCAATGGCCTCTGACATCTTCTCCGAGTACTTTGCAAAATCCGGGGCGCACACGGTAAGGTCCGAGCAAGTCGTCAAAAGTTTGTTTATGTTCACGGTCGGTGAGTGGTTGAAAACACCGCGGACATATGACTTCCCCCGTTGGTTGTCGTACATGAGGGACCAGAAGGCTGTCACAGCCAACTCCTGACGGCGAAATATATCCAGGTCTCCTAAGGAATCATCTATGCTGCTCACACACTCTGAATTTCTCGACTGCCACGACATTCTCTCCTCCAGAAACGTTTGCAGAGAGGCCCGCTTCTCCCCCACCTCATTCTGTGAGGAGAGGACAATCTTCATGCAATCTTTTGGTTTGGGGCTGCTATTTTCGTGCGTCCCAGTTTGCGGCGATGGAGTTGCCATCAAGGCTGCCTTAAATGTAAGAAGAATGCGACTGTCTTGACATATTTGCGTCTTTAAAGTGGAATTAAAGCAGAGGTTGCGGAGCGTCAACAAAGACAAAGTCCCTGTGTGATTTGTGCTTCCTGCAGTCTCTATCAGAATTGTCATGAGTTCCGCCCGCCGTACAATGGCAAGCTGCGCCTCCAACTGAAAAGAAATCGCCGCTAAAAGTCGAAATAGACCCAACGGTGTCGGCACACGCTGGCGTTCGTGCTTCAGAAAGAGAGACTCTATGTGCTCAACACCCTTCAATTTCATCACAGCATGCGTAAAAGGCACCCCGCCTTTCCCACACGCCGTGGCGCAGATATCAAATCCAGACATTACGACAGCTGCTCTTAATGCCTCCCGCTCGCCCAAGGGAACATGCTTCATGGCGTCGTTGTTCTCCTTCTGCAGCTGCAGGTGTTCACCCGATTGCAAGACGCCAAGTGTGACACCCAAAATACGGCCAAAACATGAACGAGAAAGCGGGTCGCCGGTGGAACAGACTTCATGCAGGAGGCAGCGTCGCCCCTCATTACTGCGCGCAAGTGCCGCAGACGCCTGAAAGGCCGCACGTTGAGTCGTCTCGTAGCCCAACAAAATGCGAAATGAAGAGCAAAACGATTGCCTGACGTCCCGCGACAGGGCACGACACTCAGAAAAGGCCAGGGCGCTACTCACGAAGGAAAGTGTCATTGCGAGAGAATTCATCTCGTCTCCCCCTACCACGCCTCCATTCTTCTTCAATGCCTGCACTTGTCCGTCAAGCTCCGTCACCTTTGCGGCGACCCAGCCAAGCTCGTGCGCCTTATCATTCGCCAGCGCAAAAAGCGACAAAAGGCGGCACTGCATTCCACTGACAGAAGAAGCAGGATGAACAAGAAGTGATGCCACAAAGAGATCGCCACTAGACGCCGCGAGCACCTCATAGAGAGCATCGCATCGCACAATAACAATGCCGGAGACGAAGGAACAGACATGTGCGCGAATCCGCTGTGACAGGCGGTTGTTTCTTATAACTTTACAAAGATGCGTAAAAAACGTGGACGGCAGGCTGAGTGGATTCTTCTCCGCACGACTGGCGGGAGTAAACCAAAGAGAAAAGAACTCCATCACCCACTGCAGCATGGCCTCGTAAGAATCCTCCAACGTTCTGTGCTGCTCCACCTTCACGCCGAAGCGGGATGATAACATGTCAAAAATGTCATCCGGCGACGGAAGAGCAAAGACACTTATGATAAAATCGCATATAACGTCGTCTGAAATTTGTTCCCTCACAACTGTATTGGAGGCAAAGAGAAACAGCAGTCCCTGAGCCAGCGAACAAACAAAAGAGAACTGTACCGAAATGCCCTCAATACCGCTCAAGAATCGTGAGAGTGCATCCTTTGTGGTTGTCGCCGCTGGTATTGGCGCTTCACTTACATGCTCCAGTTTCTCGTTTGTTTGCGTCGCCACAAGAAGAAGTTGCAACCAACACTCCAGTGATCGCTTACCATAGGGCAAAAGAACATTGCTAAAAGTATTCTGGTGAAACTCAGCCAAGCGGCCTTGTTGCTCAAAGAGAGATGTCATCAAGGACAGCATGGCGGCAGTAGCGTATGTAATGCCATTGGAAGAGGCCAACTCCAGCAGTTTAACTGGGAGCGCCGTCTGGATAAAATCAAAATTCTGCTCCACCTTGGCGTCGCTGGAGGCGATGCGAATGACATGCGCCAACCACTCTGCTGCAGCTGCCGCCTCCCATTGTGGTGCGGTCTTCGTGTACTCCAACACGCTGTTGACGGCGGCGCTCAAGACCGATGGCATCTCATGAAGGATGGTCATAAGTTCTGCAGACGAAGTACATAGACGCGAAAGGCAGCGGTAGACGGAGGCGCGAAGAGGCGGATGAATACTATGACGCGTTGCCCGCGAGACTGCTGGGAGCATTGGGATGACATCCCTCAGGCACACCGCATCCATCCGAGAAAACTCCATGAGCCAAAAACAGGCATCCAACGCCACCAGACTGCACTCACCCAAGGAAGTATGGCGTGACGCACGCTGGCAACTGGGTAAGTGATGAATGGCGGATCCAGACACACTTTCAATGGCAGATGTGAGTGTCGGGTTGTGAATGCCAATCGTCATCAAAAGCGGGATTGTCGACCGCAACATTTGAAGGGTCTCTGGCGCAAGCAATTTATTTAGCACCATGTAATGATTCCAAATGACAGACGAAAGAAGTTTGCAGGCGAGGGCGGCAAGAGTGGTGTGTTCCGTTCGCGTAGATGCCATGGCGCAGGCAAGATACACCTCGTCCGACAGTGCCCCGTCAACTGTGGTCGGCGTGTCAATCAACGCAGATTTAGTCCTCTCCACATTTCGAATGAGGGACTCAATCAGAGCAAACAGACCCGCGTCACGAATCCACTGTCCCATCTCCTGCGGCCCACACGCACGCTCGGCAATAAGAAGAAAGGAGAGAACAACAAGTGAGATCGATGGCCGTTCCACAAGGCCGCCGGGTCTCTCGCACCGCATCGGGGAAGATGCACTCATGTTAACTCTAGACGTGGAGACGGCGCTTGCGGCGTGTGTGGATGTGTCAATGGTGGAGAGATCCGATGCATCCCGCTGTGGCAGTAACATATCCCGAGCGTTCAAATCTTGAAGAACAATTTTTATGAGCGAGGATCCAGCGACAGACGCGATGCTGTCACGCGTCTCACTACGAAGGTGAAAGCCAGAAATCATGTGCGATAACCACAGCAGCACGGAGGTAAACACCACCTGATCCTGCTGGTTGGATGGCATGGTCTCAAGAAAACGTTTAAATGCCCGGCTGAAATTAAGGCTTGTAAACCGACGCTGTAGTTCATCTCCAGCCGCCACGGTTATGCACCACAAACGGTTCATCATAAACAAAAACTCCTCATGAGAACCAGCTTTTGACAGGCGATCAAAGCAGTCTGTGTACTCCTCTTCAGGAATGGAAACATCTGCAACTTCCTCGAGGATCGCATCCTCCCCATCCACGGCTGTGTTTATGGATATTTTGGTCTCATCCGCGGCAAGGCACGTTGCGTCATGACTTCTGAGACTGCTTTCCATGAAATTGTCGGCAGAAATATATTCAGTTCTATTCAGCCCAACGTCGTGCCTTGCAGAGGACGCTTCTCCAGCGCTGCTGCCTTGTTTACTCCGTTTTTTCAAACGTCGAAGGCGATGCACTGCCATGTTCAACAAACTGTGACTGCAGTAACGCATCGGGCCGTCCGTAGCAAAGCATAGCGCCTGCAGAGTTTCCAACGTCTCCTGTAGAATTTCCTCGTGCTGGGCCACCGCCGCCTGCAGCTGCTGCAGATGGCATGTGAACGCAACTGATTGGCTTTCATTGAGCGGCAAACCCCGTACCTCCCGCCCGAGCGGTAACGACAAAAGCAATTTCACCATCGTCCCGATGATCCCAAAAAAACGTGGGTGCTGCCGTTGCAACAATTTGACAAGTGTCATCAAAATCGCCCCGGCACGTGCCAACACCAGCAGGCAGTAATATGGATTTTTATCCGCGTGTAGTGCAAGCATCATATCAATAAAGAGGGAAAGTGTCTCGAGTTGTGTAAAAAGAAGCTTCTCAGCCATAAAAAGCGGTGGCCTCCCGCTTCGGCGCTCACTAGACAGCATCTCACCTGCAATTATATCCACAAGATGCGTTAGCAGCTCGCCCTCCTCCAAAAAGGCGGCGACGGACACGCGTGACACGAGTATACGTTTGATCACCTCGCATCCCTCCATCACCACCATCACGTTGTGGTGCGCGAGCTTCGCCGTGAGCTCCGCAAAAAACGCCAGCCACTTGGACTTCGTGAAGGATTTCAGCGGGACGGGCATTTTTGGGTGGATGTACACAACACCTCCTAACTGACGCAAAACAGCAAAAAAAAAAAAGGGCAGTAGAAATAAAATAAAAAATAAAAAATAAGCACGACGTCAACACACGCGTAGGAATTCGGCCACAGTCATCAAACGAGTTGAGTCTCGTCTAGTAACCCTTCGTTTTTTGTTTTTTTTTTCTTTCGTCTTTTGCGCCTCTTCCACCCTCTTTCAAAAAAAAAAAAAAAATGTCAGCAGCGTTTTCTCGCCCCCTGCACAACCTTCACCATCTCCACCGCGTCTGCGGAGTTGTCGTAGTACGCGTACATGTTCCTTCGAATGTCAAACCCCAGGGTCTCGTACACGCGTGGCACAGCAGCCACCAGCCGCTCCATCTCCTCCAGCAACTGCTCACGCGACGCCGAGTCATCGCTTTCGGGCAACACCCTGCGGAGGTACGCAGTGGTTTGCTGCGATGGCGTCATTGTGTGCAACCGCCACCGGACAATCTTTCTGCTCGGGTCGCCGCCCTCCACAAGCCGCAAGGCACGTCGCAGCAGCTGCTGTGCAATGTGGCGTCTGCGATGCGTTGGCAGCACAAGGACAAGCTGAATGTAACCTTCCACCTGGACGCCGGGCGCAAGAGGCACCCACACGACCCCCACCACGCCGACCATTGCCGACGAAACATCCTCCGCACCTTCCGTCGTGTCCGTCGCTGGGGTGCGGCAGGAGGCCACAAAAAATATATTCACCTGCTCCAGCCGACTGCGGGTGCACTCCGGGTACGGCAAAAAACACCACTTTTCCAGCGCCTCCACGACAGCGCTGTGTCTTCCGCCGTCCTGCTCCTTTTTCACCTCGCAGAAAACGAGGTCGGCCGTCATTGTGCAAAAAAATGCTCCACACGACTCGCTGGCGCCTTGACCATAAGATGCCCGCCGCCCGCTCCCCTCACTATGCTTCCCAAAAAAAAAAAAAAAAAAAAAAAAAAAAAAAAGAGAAAAGGAGAAAGTGAGATAGATAGAAGAAAAAAAAAAAGTAGCCCTCTTCGTTTACTTTCGCTCTCAAACACACACATAGTCGTCCTACCATCCGTCATTGCAAGTGATAAAATACCTATGCCCCTTCATAAAAATAAATAATAATAATAATAAATTCCGTTTAGAAAAATATATCACTTAAAACGCACAAATGGAGCAGGAAGCTTGTGTCTACATTTTCCAAAAAAAAAAAATTATATATAGGTAGCATAACATCAAAAACGTTTCTTAACACGAAATATAACTATCCCCTCCCTCCCTCCCTCCCTCTCTCTCTCTTTCTCTGTCTTTCTTTCTTTCTCTCTGTCTCTTTCCTTGTCGTTTTTACATAATTACTAAAAATGCGTGCGAGGCACAAGAGTTAACAGTTAAATAATAATAATAATAAAGAAAAAAACGTGTCTTTCCCCTCATTTTCTCCCCTGCATGGCTACCCCTGGACGTATTTTTATATTGATATTTATGTATTTATTGATTGATTGATATATATATGCCTGCTTCTTTATATTTGTGCATGATGGTAAGAACCAAATCATCGTTGGCAGGAAAAAAATGTTTATCCAATACGGACGCCAATCACATCGGCCTCACTTCAGCCACATTGGCAGGGTTCAGAAGTGACTGGACCGACTTCGTCACGCGTAACTCGCGGTTCATCAGGGAACTCGTGCCGTCACCACCTTCGTTGCGCGTCGCCAAGATGACGTCCTGCAGGACACCCATCGCTATTCCCACCGCAACCTCCATTGGGTGCTGGTGGGAAAAAGCCAAAAGGGATGCCGCAAAAAGATCGCCAGTTCCGGTGTAGCGTCCCTCATGGTAGGGCACAACGCCAGTAAACCGCTGCGGTGTTTTACCACCCGTCGCCATGGTAGAGAAGAGAAAGTGTAAATTTTGAGGGTCCTCCTTCGTGCGGAAGGATTTGATAATAACATTTTGGGTGCCCTGCGCATGGAACCAGTCGGTTGCCTGCAAGGCAGTCGTCATATCCGTTACATTGACGCCACTCAACAGGCTTGCCTCGTAGTAGTTCGGAGTTGCAACATCTGCGCACTGAATAAGCTCCCTGTACGCCTCCAAGACTTCCTGTTTGCAGTACATGATGCCATCATCGCCCATAACCGGGTCGCAGAAGAACGTAAGCTTCTTTCCTTCCTTCTCACGCAGTGTGCGGATTTCTTTAACCGTGTCACGGATCCTCCTCACAATATCGGCATTGTTGATGTACCCTGTAATGATGTAGCGATAGCCGGGTAAGAAGTTATTCGCACGCATGCCTTCCATTAGGGTTTCGTACTCCTGAAGGTCCATGCGATGGCCGCGGATGATGGGATAGCCACTGTGGTTCGAGAGGCTCACCGTGTTGACGCCATCCACGTCAAACCCATGCAGCTGCAGTGGGAACGATGCTGCCTTGTTTCCCACATAGCCGTGGGTCACATACGATTGGATCGACAGAATCGTCTTCTCTTCGCTCATGGAATTTATTTATCTTTTATTGTTTGCTTAAAACTGAAATGTTCGGCATCAAAGCAGCAAAAAAGAAAAAAAAAAGGTCTTTTTTCCCCAGAGAACCAAAATCAAATGCCGATATCATGTTGGTGCATGAAGAAACACGCGAAGCCCATGTACCCCCCAAACAAACAAACAAAAAAAAAAAACAGAGGCGCTATAATTACTGGCAGTGATGTGCGAAGAAGACTCGTCTCAATTGAATCCCTTCTTTCTTCGCCTTGTTGTTGGTTGTTATTTCCTGCGTACGCGTTGCCGGGCCCGTGACGGCATTCCAAAAAACCTCCACTCATGGAACGCACAAAAATCGCCGCCGCGCAGGCAAAAGAAATAACAAAAAAAAAAGACGAAATAAAAAATAAAATAAATGATAAATAAACTAGCAGTGCAAGTCGTCCAATGCGGCATGAATGGGGATGTACGTGTGGCTGCACACCATGCGCTGTGTATCCGCATTCGCACTTGTCCAGAACTGCAACCTCCCCAAATAAATACCGCGCCGGGAAGAAGTTTCGGGCTCAGGGCCTTTCTCCAACCCACCGCCACCGCCGTGACTTCTGGAGCTGCCGCCCATCCTCCCCCACTTCCTCATTTTATACCTGCCAACGGCAGAAGGCGCGAGCCGCCACTCAACCACTTCGACAAGCACCGAGACAACACTGTGGCTGGTCGAGGGCAGACTGTACGCGTATGAAAAAATATCCAGCAAACTTGCATCAGACAACAATGACGAGGAGGATGAAAGTGAAGGAAGAGGAGGCCACGGCAATTTAAATATGCCCATGTTGCCGCGGTAGCCAGAGGCTGTGACGCCAATAAGACGCAGTGCCGTTGCGATGCCGTCGTGCCCTCCCGTCATCACGGCGGGGTGGTACAACTCCAGTGTAAAGCCGCACACTGTCGCTGGAACACCAAAGTCAAACTCGATCAAGACTTTTTCAGAGTTGTGCACTGTAACATTGCGCAACGGGATAAGGCGTGTCATGGGAAGCATGCGGGGAAGACAGGCAATACCCAACACACCACTCGTACCGTGTACCATGTTCGTCGAAAGGCTGCCATAGCGCGAGAGATCAGGACTGCAATTGTAGTACGATGAGTTCACATGTGGTACCTCGGGAGTGAATTGACCCCAAAGGGAAAAATGATCCACGTACAAAAGTAAAAGGTCACTGACAGACCCAATAAAAAAGAGAGCAGCCAGATGCGTCGTTGTACCGTTTGTAGATGCGGCATCAATACCACTATTTCTGGAAATCGTATTCGTAACGGGGGTTGACGTTGAAAATATCACCTTCCCCTCTTCCTCTCGAGACGGATTAATCTCCTCGCGTTGCAGCACCACCTCCCTCAAAGTGCCAACACCAGACACACCATCAACATCATCATGAGAGACGCCAGGGCTGCCAATATCTGCTCCAGAAAATGGCTCAAGGGAATGCAAAGAGTTCCCCAAGTATAGTTGAACTTCAATATTTCCACAGATGTTCCCCGATAACATGTATCGCAGTATCCCATGCGAAACCGCAGCTCCATGAGGAAGCAAAAGAATCACGTGACGGCTAACGCGCGTAATGGAATCCGTCCATTCATCTTCCGTGACACAACGCCATCTCAATAAGTTTTTGTTGAATCCCATGACCCCGAGTACCTCTTCAAAGAGCGTTTTATTTTCGTCGTCCATACCAGGCGCATTCACAACACGTGTCAGTGGGTGCATTGTCAGTTGATAGGGTCGTTTGTCACAAGTCCTCAAGACGCTTGCATGCGCGTAGCTGCTGTGTAAGGGAAGGGGGTACAGGGCCAGGACCGACTCCAGTTGGGGTTTTGTGCAGCGTGCGTAGAAATCAATCGTCTCTTCCTTTTCAACGTCGCTCTCCACCTCACCGAAAGCCTCACTCCAGAGAAACCCCCTCAACGTCTCCTCAAGCCGCATAACTTTCTTCAAACACGCCAGGCACACAGAAGCGGTGCAGTCGTGAATACCAAGCTCAGGCAAACGCACACGATTTTCCGACAGACATTTTTCGCATACATGACGTTGGCACCGATCGCACTCCTTGACGCCCGAGAACCACGAGAACACACGAAAACAAAGAGCGCATCGCTTTCGCTCTTCGTTTTTCATCCGACATTTTTTCTTTTCTCTAGCGCTACTGGAACTACCGACACAAAACTCCCCGTTCTTTTCCCCCCGCTTCTTCTGTCGGTACCTAATGAACTCCGTATCCTTTGCCTCCTCTGGGAGCTGTGAGCGATGGAATGTGGAGCGCGGGAGCACCTGGTATGCCGGGTTCATGACCCAACGTGGGACACCCGTGCGGTACAAACTAACATCACGATAAAAGCGGCGCACGTGGCTCTGAAGCCGCTTCGACTCCATCGCCACAGTCAATTCAAAATTCAATTGAAAAAGATCTGCCGGGATAACGCTGTTAACCTTCAGCAGGTACATCTCCTGTCGTCCGTGTGTCGCCATCAACGTGCCAACCAGCCGCGCTGTGCTTGCGTGTTTTCCCGCTGCAGTCCCCTGTTTCTCCTCATCCCCCACCTCCTGGTCCTCTTCCACGTGGCTGTTTCTTTTATCGGGCTCATCACCGTCTTGAGCCGCAGCCGTCACGACAGAACGAGGCGACTTCGGGTCTGTGAGCTCAACAGTCAAATCGTCTCCTGCCTCCCAGGCAAAAAGCGACCGTGCCGCAAAAAGCATGCGGCTCAATTTTGTCTGGCAACCGACAACGGCGTGAAGTTCTTCGCATGGAATACAATCAACAGGCTCGCCAAACACCAATATGGGGGGCAACGCCATCGGATCGCAGCCCGAACCGCGAATTGAGAGACGCATATAACGTGCAACAACAGGCGTGTTTTGATTGAAACTGCGACCAGACGTACCAACGCCTGCAACCACCTCCTCTACAAATGATAAGGGGGCCTCTTCAGTGGAAGGGCGGTGCAGCTCAAAAAAAATTAAATGCGGAGATATTTGTCGACCGAAAGATGATCGGCTGCTAACACATAGCGGGAGCGGAACATCTTCCAAGACACTCCTCTCGTGCGTCTGGCCCACGTAACAAAATGTTGAGAGAGAAATAGAAAGTGCCGCGGCATAAGGCGCCATCTGAATGGCATTCGCCACCAGCAATGCCACATGCGTGACGTACGAAAGAGAAGGCAAGGAAATGGTAAACTCCACCCCTTCAAAGCATAATGGCATACAAAGGGGTTGTGAAAATGGGTGCATAAGGCCCTGCAGCATGCTTAGCGTCGGTGTAGGGCCCTTGCCCGACCACGAGAGAAGGGGGAACTCCTCATCGCATTCGACGGGTGGGTTCAAATGACGCATGGGCGTCAATGGAAACAGCCCCTCCCGCGAGTTATTCCAAGAGGGTTCCTCCTCATCTAATGTTTCTGCAGAGGACCCCTGCATCTTCGAAGGTGGAACCAACATTTGGACGTTGATGATAGATGAAAGCCGCGATGGGTGTGAGAGAAGAACTATCCGATGTTGCACAAGTTCCCTCGGGAAAAAACCGCCTTCCGAAAGAAAAAACGTCATTAAAAACCTGTGTACCGTCCTGTTTATAATGACACCGCTCTTGTGATCATCATGCTCCTCTTTGTCAAAAGACCCAGAACCATTCTCCCTGGCCTGAAAAGTCATGTGCTCAATGCGCTGTGCTGTTGCCCACACCACGGGGCTAAACGCCATTGGAGCTCCTTCGCAAATTTCCACAAGACAACGCCATACCCATTCCATCGCCTCCTGCTTTAAAAAAGCTTTGCGAATGCACGAAGTGGCAGCCGCTGAGTTGGCCACCAAAAGAATGATATCCCGCACCCAAGCCCTGGACTCCAGCAGTAATTGAGCCACATCCCTCTCCTCATCAAGTTCGCTTAACAGCCAGCTCACAACCCAACCAACAGACACAATAATAGATGCGATGATGCTTACCTGTGTATCATCGCTCACACAGACACGTGGAACCCAACTGTCTGCCATTTGAAATCGGTCCACGTGCAGGGATTCCCTTCCCCAAAAGGTCTGCAAGAATCCACCACCGTCATTCACTGATGCCGCGTCAGAATTTATACCCACAAGGGAAGAACGAAAAGAACAAGAATAAAACACGGGAAATAGCGCTCCAACAGTAACAACAGGACGAAGACCATGTGCCTTAACATGTTCAGCAAGTAATTGAAGAATTGACTGTAGGCTCTTGTTCGCAGAGACTGGGTCCACCGCACTAACGTCTAAATCGTTTCGGCGTCCCGATGCGGCATTCGCCAGATTTGTTGCAAGGCTATTTCGCCCTTTAGGCGATGAAGGAGGGAGGCCTCGCCTCTTCATTGGCGATTTCCTGGTTTTTATAGGGGACATGAAGCGTTGGTAGCTGCTTGCGACTTGCCCCATCTCGTGTGCTATTTTGTCCTCCTGCAAAATCACAGTACCCGCATGCGCCAAACTAACTTTTGTCCCTGATCCATACCGCTCCAAATAGGCAGCAAAAATGCCTGCCACATGATCTTCACAAGGCGGAAGTGGATCCACAAATCTCTCCGCGCATTCCTTAACCCGCTCATTCTGCTCAACAATGTTCTTGTGACCAGCAAAATCCGTGCCCCGCCGCCATGTCAGTGAAGAAATTGCCCCAAGTTTCTCCTCATCTGTTTGGTTTTGCAACGGTTCATGTAAAATGAGCAGTTGAAACTCCGTCTCCAGTGCGGAGACATAAGGGTCCAACTGCACCTTTGCAGATGATGGCTTGTAATCATAGAAACATCCGGAAACTGCCAGGCGACTCAGTCGAACAACAAGAAGAGCAACAGAAGAAATCCTGAATGAATGTGGCAAGGTGATGGCGGTACATGAACCAAGAGCCAATCGACAGCACCAGTCCCCCAAGCCAAACGCGTTACAGAAGCGAATAAGCTCCTCGTTCCAAAGACAATCACATTGGCCCAACGCACCGCGGCCCGCCTGCTTGGGAAGCGGTGGAAAAAGCTCATTGATGAGCGGAGGAGCCAAAACAGGGTTGCCATCCAAATCCATGTTGGTATTCAGTGAATTCGTGCGGTCTCTACCCGCTCTAAAGGGAACCAACAAACGCCTCACCGCTTCCTTCAAGACGCAGCAATGTGTTACATCCACACCCGGTGAAAAGTACAGGTACGGCGTTATCGAATCGTCATCCAAGACGCTAGAAAACAATTTGTAGGGTGTTGAACTGCGATCGCCAAGCGTCCACGAATGTACACCGCTACTTGTGAGAGGCTGTTGAAGAGCTGATACCGCAATTCGCAGTGGGATGTGGACCCATCTTGCCTTGTCAACAGAAAAAATAGGCGGAATGCAGCGGTTCATGGGCGAAAAGGAAAACGGGTCGGCCTCCTCACCTACGGCATGAGCATGAAATGTGGTACCGTTACCCCCCATAATTAGCGTACTCGATTCAATAAAAAGCAGATTTATGGTTTCCTCTGTGAGACAACCACCGGCAAACGCAACAAACTCACACACAACGCGCACCTCAAATGGGAAGGATGTGCGCGAGCATAAAGTAGGGATTGCGCGCATGGCGTCAGACATAGAAGCAAAAAGATCCTTCTGTGGAACACCTGCGTGTATAAGTTGCCCAGAAACGGTATCCACAGTAATGACAACAACGACTCCCGCACTGTTGCCTTCCCTGGCTGCTCCCGTGTCATTCTCAAGATCCGTTGCTACACCGCTCTTTCGTGCATTGCAGCTCACTTCCTCCTCCAATATGGTGTCGTGTGCGAGATCCGGCCCTCTGCCTGGTGTTGATCTCACATGCTCTTGACACACGCGAGCATCACACATTGCCGGAAGCTCCATGACTATAAAATAGCACGCATCGGAATAACTGTGGTGAAAAGAGGAAGAGGTAGTGTTGGTGGTCGTGGTGGTGGTGGTGTTGGGACACACTAACACCAGTTGTCCCGACATGTATATTAGGCTGTAGCACAACACTTATATTCTAAAGAAAAAGCGACTGCGGGGTATTACGTTTTTTCAATAAATGGGTTGGGGATGAAGAGAGAAAAAAAGTAAATTCGGAAAAAGAAGCAGAGACACTGACCGGAGAGTGACAGACAACACATCATTCATACAAAACACAATGTACCGCCCAACCAACAACACGACAAAAAAGAAAACTCTCCGAGATAAGCCTACATCCACAAAATCAAGTAAAGAAAAAAAACCAAGGACAGTGCGTACATGGTATATGCGTTCCGGCCGGCTCTGTGTCCCCGATCACGGACACGACATCCATCCCAACGCATTTGTAATTAAATTCTTGTTTGTTTGTTTGTTTTCTATTTGCTTCCTTCTCTTTTTTTTTATTTTTTCTTTCGTAGTTTACATCGTCGAAACCTCACTCTTCCCTCTCCTCGTCCCCACCGTCCCTCCCCAGTCACGCATGACCTTCCATTGATTCCGGAGAATATCAAAAAAGATGTAGTCGTCCGCAATTACCGCGCTGACGCCGTTGTAGTAGTCGATAAACTCGGCGTATGGGATCAACCCGTATTGTTTGTTCTCATCCCAAACGGTGAGGAAGCCCTTAAGCAGTTTGTCCGCGGAAAAGAGTCTCTCCACCGCCACCACAGGGTGCTGCTGCGCATTGTAGCGGGCCTGAATGTCTAAGATGTTGAGGTAGCCGTCTCCATCAAAGTCAAGCTTGCGGAATATTTCCCAGACGGCATCCTTCCGTTTTTGGCTCATCGGCCCACGAACGTAGTCCATGAATAAATCATAGTCAATGCAGCCTTCTTCATTCTGCGGAAAGGCTTCATGAATGCTCCTTGCATTATTGCTAATCGTGGAATTCGTCTTCTGCGTGTCCTCAAATGACAATGTGGTGGAAAAGGCACGAGAGTCACGAACAAGCTTTCCAATGTTCTCCAACGACATCCACCGCTTTCCATCCTCGCTGACGTGGCGAAAGTGACGTCCCATTGCCTTGATACCAATCTCAGGAATGCCATTGCCGGCATACACAACATACGCATCTCTAATCTCACGCAGGAGATCTATCACCTCGCCAGGGACACGGTGTGTTTGATTCAACTTCGTCGTGATGTCATTGCCAATGTCTGCAAGAGTCGTGCCCGTGCGCGTGCGCAGACGACTATCGTCGCAGTGCACTACTTTATATCGCTTCGACTCGCCGTCACGCTGATTTTGCGAGGCTCCCAAAGTGAATATAGAACCCTCCTGGAAGTCATCCGTGAGAAAGTGTTCACCATTGTCCTTCAGATACACGTCAAAGGGATAGGCAGGAAAGTGTCGCTGCACCTTGTAGCCTAGAGGGCCTGGCATATCCCTCACCTCCTCCAGGTAGAACCCACGCCAGCGCGGAAAGTAGCATCCAAAGAAGTACCGCTGCACGTCACGCTCGTGTTGTGAGAGCTGCACACAGTGAAAAAAAAGAAAGTCACCGCGTTCGAGACGATTCACCTCACTGTAAAGCGTCGTATCCATTCGGACAGAGATCTGCAAGAGCGACACACAACGTGAAAAAGTGTCACAAAAATATTCAAGCAACACACCGTCCGCCCAGTCCCTTTTGTTTGACTTCGCTCCTTCCTTCCCTGCTGTTTTTTTCCTTTTCTTCTTTTCTTCTTTTGCTTCCCGCCTTGTTGGGCTTCCCTTTTCCCCCCCACCCACCTTTGAGCGTTTGGTTGCGTGCATGTCAGACAGTAATGTATGCAAACAAATGTGGAAATAGGGAGAGAAATGGACAGAAAAGAAGGGAAAAATAAAAATAAAATAAAAAATGTCAACTCCAAGCCGTTTTCCACCCCCCGCAAAAAGGCGTGAGGCGTAATCCACCCCTTCTCTCCAGTGAAGGAGGCCCGTCAAAGGCAAAAAAATCACTTTACCGTCGCACCGCATGGCAGACGCATGCGCCACTATTGATGGTAACAAAAGAAAAAAATGAAAATAGACAAACACATAACGTCATTTCTCCCAAATCCGAGATCCCGCACTCCCTCGCTCTCAACGCCGCTCTTCATTCACGTCACCGTCTACTCGCACCCGCTCACCTCCTGTTTGCAGAATTTCCCCATTCACAAAATGAGGTGACGCATTTGGCTAAATGCACACGCACTGGGGTTTGTGTGGCTCAATCAAATCATTTTTCACTTTTTCTTCTGCATCCCTCATTCTTCTCTCGCAGCAATTGCGCGTGCCGTGGGGGAGGGAGAGGGGGGCAAAAATAAAAGAAAGGCGGTGTGTCTGCATACAAATGGGGGCGGTAATAAGTAAAAACTGTAAGGGTCGTAGCGAAAAGACGTTCTCTTCTTTTAAATGTTTCCAATATGATTTTTTTTTTCATGTTTGTTCAATGGGAAACCCCCTCCCCGTTTTTTTTTTCTCCCACGCTGACCGGCGGCACCGGCCCACGGGTGAAAAACAAGCACCACTGGGCAAAAGCAATTGAAACGCTGAAAAAAAAAAAAAAAAAGGGAAAACAATGAAGAGCAAAAACAAGGAAGAAAAAAAAAAAAGAGAATCACCCAAGGCAGCGGCAATTAACCAACAGCACCGTTTTTCTCTGATGCTGCCCGATGGAACCCTCTCATTTACCGTATTCTTCGTCCCTGTCCTTTTTTCCCATCCTCGTCATCCATCAGTGGCGCAGACACACGCCCATACACATCCCCAGACACCATTCCTCTTTGCTTCTCTGAGGCTCATTTGCGGTACCACGCATTCGGTCGCGAGGTTCGTTTCGCTTGTGGCAGTCCCAGTGCTCGAGAGGGGTTCCTCGTGGGCAACGCCGGAAAATCCTCTGGGTTCGGGTAATACCCCGCAGCTCCTATGGGAAGCAATGATAGGCGAGGCTGCTGCCGTTCCTGCGCTGCACCCCAAGCAGTAGGACGAGTACTGGTGGCATCGGCAGACAAAGAACGCCCATTGCCGCTGTTTTGACTGGCATGTTTATTATTTTTTCCCCATAAAGTCTCTTGGGACCCCTGCTGTTGCTGCGGTTGTTCTTTTTCTTGTGTCTCTGACTGTTTCCCGTGTGCCTGGTTAATAAGAGCGGCACTGCCTCTTTCCAGCCACACATTGCGTCCGCCGCTGTTATTCCCCTTTTGCCTTTTCGACCCCTGTTGAATGCGTTCCAAGTATTCGGTCTGTTTCTTCCACTTCTCACTATCCTTTTTCTTTTTCTCCTCCTCCTCCTGCATCCGCTGGGCATGCTGCACCTCGGGTGAGTTTCGCATCTTCTCAATCTGCACAAGAGCATCGCGGTC